ATGGAAGTGTTGAGGCTTACAATCCTTGCCATGCTTTAAGCTTAACATAGGTTTCAATACAGAACATAACAAATACTGGCCCTTACGTGGCAGCGTTTGCCAAGGCCTGCCAGATTCCTCTTTCTTGTGACCCAGAGCTGAGATGAAAGGTCTTCCGGCCCCTCTCCTCCTGCCTCTGCCTTCCCTTTAATCCCAGGGTCCTTTTAACTTCACTTCACACTCCAGTTCGACAATCTGCTGGCTGTGTGACACTGAAGTGATGAAAACGGCTTCACCCTGGCCCAGCGTAGGCCGCCTCTGATCAGTTGATTCCTACGCCTACACATTGCCCCCCTCACCACATGAAAGAGGAATTTCGGCTCCTTTAATATCACCACCCTCCTGCCTCTTCTGCCAGCCAGAGACTGAAGCAGGCCTGACTCTTAGGGGGCAAAGAAACATCTGGAGTTCAGCGCAAAGCCATTCAGGGGGGAAAAAACAACAGCCAGCTTTGCCATTGACATGCCATGCCAAACTGAGAACAGTTGGGGTTTGGCTGCCATCTCCTTGTGGCAGTCACATGGGAAGGCACGCTCGGGCAGCTAGTGCCTTGACACACCTTCCAAGTGGAGGTTCTAGACAGAAAGAAGACAAGCCACACACTGCAAAGAAAGTAGCTCTTGGCAATGATGCCTTAAGAGAAGCTCTCCCTCGCTGGAGGTCTTCAAGCAGCGGCTGGATAAGACGAAGAGGAAGAGAAGAGGAGACTGGATTGATACCCTGCCCTTCACTACCTAAAGGAGTCTCAGAGCAGCTTTTAAATTTACTTTCCCTTCCCCTCCCCACAACAGACATCCCGTGAGGTAGGTGGGGCTGAGAGAGCCCTCTTGAGAACTGCTCCTGAGAGAACAGCTCTGAAAGAACTTGTGACTGACCCAAGGTCACACCAGCAGCTACATGTGGAGGAGTAGGGAATCAAACCCAGTTCTCCCAGATTAGAGTCTGCGCTCCTAACCACTACACCAAACTGGCTCCAGCTTGGGACTCCCTGCCTTAAACAGGGGATTGGACTAAATCAGGGACAGGCACCCCTTCTTGTGCAGGACAAAAATGCAGCATCTACCTGTGAAAATGTTAGTGGGCTGGCTTATTGGGGTGGGGTGGGAGTGGATGAGGGTTGTATTTGGCCAGCTGCGCTTGGAGCAAGCCAAGCTCCAGGGATGCTGCCAGGACCTCAGGGGTTCATCTTGGACTCAGCAGGTGGCTGTGCAGCTCTGGGAGACCATGGCAAGCATTAAGCCCACACCTGTTCCCTTCCCCCACACCGCTGGCGCCAGCAGCACTTCCAGTGCCTCAGTTGCTCGGGCAGAGATCTGGCCCTGCGTGCCCTGGGTGCCAAGCAGAACGGACTGGTGTGCTGCTGTTGCCTTGTGTGCCAGGAGCTGCCTACTTCTGACCTAGACTGCCTATTTGGCCCTTTGCTACTCTATGATTCTATGACACAGAACAAAAAAAGACTTTGCCTTGTGGAAACAGAATTTCGAGCTCAAACTGAACATGAAGTCTGGTCGAATGGATTTGAAAGCATTAGCCCCCCGTGTGTGCTATATAATTAGCCTGCCTCCAGCAGGGAGTGCTGAGCGAGCAGCAGTGTGGTACAGTGGTTGGAGTGCCAGACTGGGACTGGAGAGACCTGAGTTCAAATTGTCTCTGGGCTCTGAGGCTCAGTGGGAGAGCTTGAGCCAGTTGCTCTCGGTCAGCCTGTCATGAGGAGAGCCTTGTGTGCCATCCTTTGAGAGCGGGTAGCCTAAAGCAGTCGTTGAGAGAGTTGTACTGCGGCAGACCTCTCCAGTAAGCTGTTATCTCCTCCAACTGGCAGCAGCTGAGAAAGCATTCTGCCACGGGCTGAATCAAAGAAGCCAAGAAATGGATGATAAACTAGAGACTGTTTTAAAGAGTGTGGCATGATTGAGTGGAATATCAGGTGCCCTGCATGCGGTCGGTCCCAGTCTCTCTTTGGCACAAAGGCTCTAAGGGAGCAGGGAAGACTCCTTTCCGCAGAGAGCTGCTGCCTGTCAGAGGAGTTGATGCTGGGTAAGCAAGGCCAAGGGTCCCATGCAGTCGAAGGCAGTTCCCTATGCATTTGAAGCTAGGGCGGGAACAACTTCTAAATAGCTTGTGCAGATATGTCCTGAGCTGCGGACAGACTGTGCTCAGTGGAAAACCCTCTGCTTGGCATGCCGAAGGTCCCAGGTTCAATCCCCGGCATCTCCAGTTAAAAGAATCAGATAGTAGAAGAAGAAGAATAAGAAGAAGAAGAAGAAGAAGAAGAAGAGATTGGATTTATACCCCGCCCTTCACTACCGAAAGGTGTCTCAGAGCGGCTTACAAACTCTTTTCCCTTCCCCTCCCCACAACAGATACCCTGTGAGGTAGGCAGGGCTGAGAGAACTCTTGACAGAAACTGTTCTTTTTCAAGAACAGCTGTGCCAGAACTATGGCTTGCCCAAGGTCATCCAGCCAGGTGCAAGTGGAGGAGTGGGAAACAAACCCGGTTCTCCCAGATTAGAGTCCGCACACTTAACCACCACACCAAACTGGCTCACTGATGTGAAAGTAGCTGATGTGAAAGACCTCAGCCCTGGAGAGCTGCTGCCAGGCAGAGGAGACGGGACTGACCTTGACAGACCAAAGATCTGACTCCTCATCAGGCATGTGTTGTTGACCAGTGAGCAAGTTCATGTGTTGACGAGTGAGCACTCTCCAGCTTTAAACCACGTCTGTTTCCTCCGACCAATTTATGCAGGAATTGTCAGGCTTAGAGCCTCTGCTTTGCATGCACAGTGTCTCTGGTTCGGCCCCCGGCATCTCCAGTTAAAAGGCTCAGGTCATAGATGATGTCAAGCAAAGGATAGGCAACCTTTTTGACCGAAATGCCTCCAGCCTACAGTGTCTGCCTGTGAAGATGTTGGTGTGCCAACAAGGGGCGGACTCACCGGGAACCAGCTGAGCCCCAGCATGACTGCTGGCACCTTAGTGGGTTGCCTTGATCACTTCGGCCGAGAACCACCTTGTGCACAAGCAGAATGGTCTGCCAGGCTGCCGCTCATATTCGGGTTGCCCAGCCTTAGGCTGGAGTGCTGGACAGAGCCTGGGGGGTCCTGGCTTTGAATAGCCCGCTAGCCATGAAGCTCCTTGGGTGACCGATCCAGCCAAGACCCTCTCAGCTTCACAGGATTTTTGTGAGGATAAAAAAGAGGAGGGAGGTCTTTGTGAGCCACCCTGAGCTCCTTGAAGGAATGCAAATGCTAAATGTTAAAGTGCAAATGTTAAAATGCAAACGCTAATACCATTAATACTACTACTACTAGATGGACATCTGACAGCAATCCTGATTCTGTGAACTTAGGCAGATTATGAGACCAAATATGACCTATAGGTCATATTCAGGATATATAAAGTAAAATAATCTGCCTGGGGAAATTGTGGTAAGATTCTCAAAGAGGCATGTGAGGGATACAATCCTCAAAGCAGTATCTGGAGCACCCCTGAAAGTGGGGGAGAATACCATCAGAACGTTAAAAGACATTCTATTTGAGATAAAACAAAGGAGAAAGAAATATAAAGAATTAATTCTTTTTCTACAGACAAATGCAATTGGATATAGATGGTTAACTCCAGAAGACATAACCTTCAAAATCAAGGATAAAAAAGAAAGGATTGACTCTATCCAGAAAGCACGGAAATTTTTAAGAGTCCAGTTGGGAGGGCCAGGGAAAGAAGGAGAAAAAGGGGAGGACAGTAAGTCCAATGGCGAGCTGGACTCGGAATCTTCCGGGCAGGACTCTCTATCAGAGAAAGGGGCGGCAGCCCCTAAAAGTCCTTATAAACTTTGGAAGAGATTAGGCAAGGAGAAGTAAAGGCTGAAGGACTCTGAATTGTGCCTTTAAAAAATGTTGAAGTGAGATGCTTTGAGGTGTTTCTGTTTGAAAGTTAAATTTTAAACTTAAGACTTGAAAAAGTCAATGCTAAACTTGACTCAGTAGATAGTAAGATTAACGGGATTAAGACTAAATGTATGGTTAAAGTGGTGGGATGATCTCCTCTCTTGGGTTTTTAGTCAGTAGTGGGTATCTTCCTTTATTCCATAAATGTAGTTCCCCTTCCCATTTTATGTTGTAGTTTGTAGTAGTGTTATTAAAAAATGCAATAAAAAAATCCCCTCTGGGGGCTTTAAAAAAAAAAGGGAAAAGGAAATAGCGGCATATAGGAGAAATCCTATCAGGCTAACTGGAGATCAAAATCTCTCCGGTTTACATCCTCTGTCTTATTGAGAGGCAGGGATGGCCTGCCTCCAAGTCTTGGGTCAGCCCCATGTCATTCTGCCACTCCAGGCAGCCCAGTGCGCTCAACTATCGAGGAGACATCCCTCTGTGCCACCTCCCAGAAGTGGCCGAGGGCCACCCTTCGGACCTCAGGCAGGCTGAATCTTCCGCAACCCTTCATCCTGCAAATCTTCATCCTGTTACATGTTAATCTGCTGTTCAGCCTCTGTCTATAAGTTTGAATTCTACCTTCCATTCCAATGTATTTGAAAAACTGTGCATACACATGAAAGCTCATACCTTGAATAAACCTTTGTGGGTCTTAAAGGTGCCACTGGATTCTAAATGTGTTCTCCTGCAGCACTCAACAGGGATGCTGGAGTGGCCGCTCGGACGGCACCCTCCTCCGTCTCCATTGATGCCAAGGTTCTGACTGGCTCACTCAAGCTAGCCCTTCTCTCTGACTGAACCACACCGTCTCCTTACTCATCCTCACTGCCGTCAAGATAGTTGGTCTTACTTCCTGTGGCTTCCCAAGTGAGCTATCCAAAAGCCATGCCGGGAAGCTGTGGGTGAGAGTTCTTCGGCACCAGAGATGTCCCCCGTCCCAGTTCAAGCCTCTTCCACCTGGACTCCACTGCCTCCAGTACTCCCCACACCCTCAGCCTTTGCAATAACAAGGTGCAAATGACTCACCTGCAGGCAGGATCCTAGGCAGCCCAGGTGCTGGTCTCCTTTCCCACCTCTCAGACCCTACCACAGAGCATGGCAAAAGGGCAAGTAAAGGGTTCTGGTCATCAATGAATGTCTTCCAAGCCAGAAGAAAGGAAGCAGCCCACTAGGCATCTCCAGCAAGCCCTTCCATAGTCGGCCAACTGGGGGCTGGCAGAGGCTCTGCAGACCTTCCCACTAGACTTCGGATGCCAGAAATGCCTCTCACCACATTCTGCAATCAGCCTGTCCAAACAAAGCTGGGGACTGGGAAGTTTCTTCAGCAGGCATTCCCCATGCCTGGGGAGCCAATGAAACAGAAGGGTGCCGGAGTCTTCTTGGGAGAGCCAGACCCTCCAGGCTCAAAGAGCTAGATCGCTGCGCTGTGCAAACTGCTCCCGTTGCAAGGAAGTCTTTCAAAAGTTTCTTGGAAAAGTGGTCCGTGTGGGTAAAACGCACAGCCGGGAGACTCGCGCCCTCCAGTGGTCCAATTCCTGAAGTGCAGGCAGTGTCGCGTTCCAGAATAAACGCGAGTCTTGCGGCAATTTTGTGGTTTTCATGGAGGCCGTCGACGTTTAATTGAGCGTGCGGTTGAATCCCGTGGGGGAAAATTGGGAACGGAATACAGATCTTTTGTAAAGATGTTTACATTTTTAGATATATAGAATAGATCCAAATTAACTAGAGCATGAGTTGTTTTCCATGTTATTGTCATGATGCACACCCCAAACAGATACATAAAAGGATAAAGAACCCTAGTAATAGCCCTCACCTGGATAGCCCAGGCAAGCCGGATCTCAGAAGCTAAGCAGGGTCGACTCTGGCAAGTACTTGGATGGGAGACCTCCTTGAAATATCAGAGGTGGGAGGCGGGGGCAGGCTTTATTCACCCCCCCCCTCTGAATATCTTCCAGGCCCCCACTAGGGGTCAGTCACCAGAGGTCGCCATGACTTCCAGGTGCGCACAAGAAATACCCCCCAAAAAAACCCCTTGTAATCCATGGGGTCCATGGGGTCGCGAAGAGTCGGACTTGACTGTGCGACTGAACAACAACAATCCATAGAATCCAGTCACCTCATCCATACACCATGCCTATCAGCTCCTAGGGTTGCGAGGCTCCAAACTAGTCCCTTTAATAACAGTTTGATCTGCAGCAAATACCTGGTGATTTATTTACCTCCATGCCATGAAAAGCTTCATCTGCCCATTTCCCCCCTGGCCATCCTGGCAATCATAATGCCCTTCATTTAAAAAAAAAAAAAAAAAACCCACACCAAGCTATCCCCTATAGCAATGGTTCATAGTTCAGGATGGGCACAATCCACTGGAAGGTTCTGTTTCTGCAGAACCCCTTAAGAGGACCAGGTGCTGTGCAAAAGCATCCCTGCTCCTTTTGAGGAGCCGTAGGCAGAAGAACTTCCCAGTAGGTTGAGCCCGTGCAGAGGGTTCTTCGGAGATTGCCTATAGTAGCGACCCAACAATGCTGGAGACTTCGGGGTCCTTCTGTCAGCAGGATGGCCATCTCTTGGAAAAGATTAGTCTGGCAAGAGGTGCCCCCCCCCCCGGGGTAGAGCCCAGCCTCACACACACCCATCCACAGGCAGTGCATACCCACAAAGTGTATTTCTTGCAAAGCTGACAGTAGAGAGTGTTGGAAATGATCCCACCCCCCTGAGGGATTCCTCTATTTGTCCACCCAAATCATCCTCTGATTTAGTTGCCAGGGACCTGGGTAAAATAATTCAGCTGATATCAAAGGAGTGGCCCCTGAACTACCAGGAATCCCCCTGGACACTCCCGCAGGGGAGACGTTCACCTGGTGGAATGCTCCTCCACAAAGGAGGTTGATTGATTCAAGGTCTCTTTGTTCTCAGCCTCTGGAGGACACAGCCTTCTGAGGGCACATTCCCCTTATCATCAGCATGGGGCCCTGTTTCCCCTTGACCTTCATGCTCCCTGACAGCAGTGGGGCTGCCATTCTCCGAGTGGGACACACCTAGCAAGCCCCCAAGGGTTTTATCCATCTCTACTTCTCCAGGTCAGCCGCCTTGGCCTCGAGGGTGCTAACTCGTTCCCTGAGAACCAGGAGCTCCTTGCACTGAGCTCACACCCACGACTTCTGTCCAGTTGGCAGATAGTCATACATGTTACACTCAATGCAATACACTTGACAGCCTCCAACCCCCTGCTGGCATTCTGCCTTCATAATTGCCTTTTTATTATTGGTGGGCAGTGTCCCCTCTAAGCTGAGTTAGTGTGGGCTAGCTCACAGTTTTTTAGCCTCCGGCTCACACATGTTTGTCTCAGCTCAGGAAGGAGGGCTCCAGAGCAAACTAATGTATGCAGTAGCCAAATCGCTCACTCACAACTTTAATGCCGGTAGCTCACCAAGTAGCATTTTTGCTCAGAAGACTCCACAACATAGAGAGAGCATTGTTGGGGGGGGGGTTGTTTTTGTTTGTTTGTTTGTAAATAGCTTGGGCCAAAAACTCCACACACACCCCAGGGCCAATCACACTGATTGGGAGCTAACTAATAAAGGAGGGTGAGTCAGCCTCTGGTCAAGCTGTTGCCCAGTCTTTGTCAGGCCTGAGATAGTCCACTATACCAATAATTCAGTCACTCCACCTAGATGTGACCCTCTTGCACATCATCCTCCCAAACCTATAAAGACTCAGGAGTTCCCCCCAACTTTATAGTAGGTTCTGTGCCTCCCCCAGCTCTGCAGTTGGCTTATTTCCCAGGCTTTCCCCCTCCTTGCTGAAACTCCAACTCCCTCCTTCCGTTCCTGGACCTTCATCCCATGCTTTGGATCCCCAGCTCGGGTTTGGTGTTGGACTTCAGCAAGGCAACATATGTTTTTCCTTTCATCCTTTTATTTCCCCTTAGATTCCCCATTCAGTCTTCAATTAGGCAATTACCAAGGGCGGCATTACTAGAACTGTGTTATGGTGTTGCAATGCCATTTTATGTTTTTGCTCTTCTCTTGCATTTCATTTTTCTATCTTTGTATCCTGTTAGGGGAATAAAGACTATTTGTTTAAGAGTCTCTCTGTGTGTCTTTTCCCCCTCTCTCTCCTTAGCTGTAATGTGGGACTCAGGTACACACTAGACCGTTCAATCTCAAAACAATTGCCCTAGTGACACAGTCTGACTCTAAACATGACTTTGCACACTAGGGGCCCAACATGTATTGACTTGGGTAATAAAGCTTAAAAGATGTATGGAAGGTAGGTCCATCAATGGCTGTTAGCCACAGTGACCTCCACATTCAGTGGCAATAACCATCTGCAACACATAGGGGGTTGGGGATTGGCTTCCATGCTCTGCTTGTGGGTCTTCTGAGAGTATCTGGATGCCCAACGTGTGGTTCTTCCATTGTGGCCGATCTTCTGTTCTGAGCCAAGCAGAGAGGATGAAGAAAGGGGTGGGAAATACAAGGCAGGGAACCATGATGCACCCACCCTCCTTATGTCTCTCATTTGGAATGGCTCAGCATGCCTTAGGGTGAAATTAGAGTGGACCTAAAGATGAAGTCTTCTGAGTTACTCCAGTCATGGAGGAAACAATAAATAAGTAAAGAATTCAAAACTGGACTTTGACCTATAGCCTCTATTATATAGGAAGGGGGGGGATCCCTAATCCAGCAGCTGGTGAGAAGGGAGAAAACCTAATCATGCTGGTGGAAAACTGGCCAGTTAGTAGACATCTAGACTTATCTAGGTATCTGGACCTGTCTAGTTTGGTGTACTGGTTAAGTATGTGGACTCTAATCTGGGAGAACCGGGTTTGATTCCCCACTCCTCCACTTGCACATGGCTGGACGACCTTGGGCAAGCCATAGTTCTGATAAGAGCTGTTCTTGAAAAAAGAGCAGTTTCTGTCAAGAGCTCTCTCAGCCCCACCTACCTCACAGGGTGTCTGTTGTGGGGAGGGGAAGGGAAAGGAGTTTGTAAGCCACTCTGAGACTCCTTTGGGTAGTGAAGGGCGGGGTATAAATCCAATCTCCTCTCCTCCTCCTCTTCTTCTTCTGCTTCTGCTTCTTCTAAACTTACACAGCCCTGACCTGAATGGTCCAATCTATATTCCAATCTAGTCAGATCTCAGAAGCTATGCCGGGCTGGCCCTGGTTAGTACTTGGATGGGAGACCACCAAAAAAGTCAGCTAATAACAAGTTGCTGGTGAACCCTGGCCCTTGGGAAGTCTGGCTGTCCTCGACTAGGGACGGGGCCTTCTCAGTCCTGGCCCCTACCTGGTGGAGCTCTCTGCCTAATACCACCAGGGCCCTGTGAGATCTGATGCAGTTCTGCAGGGCCTGCAAGGCAGAGATGTTCCGCCCAGCTTTTGGTTGAGGGCAGCAATGGGAGGTCAAGACTGGCACCCTCTCTCTTATCTTCTGTGGCCCCTACATACTCTGCCCTGCCCTGGAATAGTGGTATAGCCAGCAAAGGAGGGCTACTTTCTTGCCATCTTGATAGGCTTTAACTTTTTGTTTATTGTCAGTAATCTTGATTACATATTATTTGTATTGTTAATCTCCATAATATTGTAAATCGCCCAGAGCCGGCTTGCTGGGTGGGCGATTCAAAAGTTTAATAAATAAATGTCCAGGGTTGCTGTGCAGAGGTAGAAAAAACAGGAAACTACCTCGGTTCATTTCTTCCTGAGAAAACTCTACAGAGTCACCATAAATTGGTTGCGAGTCTTGTGGCTTGATAGGACTTTCCACCACCACACTTATCTGTCATTATTTGGTGCATGCTTGTTAGGAAGTACATCCACTTGTCTTTGCAAGTCCTTCTTCCACAGAAGAGGAATCCTGAAGTCCAGAAACACCCCCCCCCCCATCCTGCAGACACTCTCTGGTTCTCTCTCTCTCTTCTGCTGAGCAACAAGTGAGTCAGGCCACTCTGAGTGGCAGGCAACTGCTCTCCAGGGTCTCAGGTAGAAATCTTTTGCATGACCCACTACATGTTCCTCTTAATCGGAGATTAAATTTAGAAACTTCTGTATGCAAGGCAGATGATCTACCACCGAGCCACAGCCCATACCTTTTGAGAGTTAGACGCTCGGCGTCTCAGAGTGGCTTACAACCTCCCCACAACAGACACCCTGTGAGGTGGGTGGGGCTGAGAGAACTCTGACAGAGACTGCTCTTTTTTCAAGAACAGCTCTTATCAGAACTATGGTCACCCAAGGTCACATCAGCAGGTGCAAGTGGAGGAGTGGGGAATCAAACCCAGTTCTCCCAGATTAGAGTCCGCACACTTAACCACTACACCAAACTGGCTCTCAGTCATGTTGGATAAGCTTTGCTGGATCTATAGAAACACCCACCTAGCACAGTGTCTTGTTTCCAACAGAGGTCC